CAGTTAGGATTAAATACTGCATCTTTACATTTGTTACATTTTTCTTCACTGCCATTTATAGGCCACATATGGTCTATAAATGTTTGTGTAAGGCCAGGCGCGATGGCTCACGCCTGTAATCCTAGCACTCTGGGAGGCCGAGGCGGGAGGATCGCTCAAGGTCAGGAGTTCGAGACCAGCCTGAGCAAGAGCGAGACCCCCGTCTCTACTAAATAGAAAGAAATTAATTGGCTACTAAAAATATATAGAAAAAAATTAGCTGGACACGGTGGCACATGCCTATAGTCCCAGCTACTCGGGAGGCTGAGGCAGGAGGATCGCTTGAGCCCAGGAGTTTGAGGTTGCTGTGAGCTAGGCTGACGCCACGCACTCACTCTAGCCTGGGCAACACAGTGAGACTCTGTCTCAAAAAAAAAAAAAAAAAAAACTATGTTTGTGTAAGCTTTGATAAATTATAACTTTTAAAATGATTTGTTTATATTTTATATGGTGGTACATGATTAAATAGAGCAGTATCTACATATATTTTATGGCTTCAGAACATAACATTTTTTAATTTTTCAATCTTTCTAGGCTATACACTTCATCTGTGATTTTTTTCAAGTTGTCAAAATCTCCCAAATTTTCCATATATTTATTTTTAAAAATCCACATATTGGGCAAGAAAAATAAATATAAATAAATAAAAATCCACATATAGGCTGGGCGGGTGGCTCACGTCTGTAATCCTAGCACTCTGGGAGGCCGAGGTGGGAGGATCGCACAAGGTCAGGAGTTCAAGACCAGCTGAGCAAGATGAGACCCATCTCTCCGAAACATAGAAAGAAATTAGCTGCACAACTTAAAATACATAGAAAAATTAGCTGGGCATGGTGGCACATGCTGTAGTCCCAGCTACTCGGGAGGCCTGAGGCAGAAGTATTGCTTGAGCCCAGGAGTTTGAGGTTGCTGTGAGCTAGGCTGACACCACGGCACTCTAGGCCAGGCAACAGAACTAGACTCTGTCTCAAATAAATAAATAAATACAATCCACATATAAGTGAACTTGTGCAGTTCAAACCCAGCTTGTTCGAAGGTCAACTATATATAGAACCACAATGTGATTTTTATGTGTTTATCTTATATCCTGTGATGTTCTGAACAGATTACATTGTTTGATATTCAAATATGGAAATAGCTTACATGCTGAGAATAAATCTCCGTGGTCATGCTGTATAATTTTTTTGGTATATTCTGAATCTTTTTTTTTTGAGACAGAATCTCACTCCTATCCTCCCGGGTAGAAGTGCTGTGGTGTCAGCCTATGCTCATAGTTTTTTACTCAAACTCCTGGCTCAAGAAATCCTTCTGCCTCAGCCTCTTAGAATAGCTAGGACTACAGGCATTCCGCACCATGCCTGGCTAATTTTCTATTTTTAGTAGAGACAGGTCTCATTCTTTCTCAGGCTGGTCTTGAACTCCTGACCTCAAGTGATCCTCCCTGCTTGCCTTGCCAGAGTGTTAGGATTTTAGGCGTCCAGCCACCACTCCTGGTCTGTTGCTAATATTTTGGTAAGGATTTTTTTTTTTTCTAGAGACAAAGTCTGGTGGTGTTGCCCCAGGCTGGAGTGCAGTGGCTTATTCACAAACAATCAATAGCGCCATTAGCTCACTACATCCTTGAACTTCTGGGCTCAAGCAACTCTCCCACCTCTAGCCTCCTCAGTAACTGGGAATACAGGCAATGTGCACAGCGCCCAGCCTGGTAAGGATTTTACTTCTATGTTAATGAGGATATGGGTTTGTAGTTTACTTTTTGTACATTTTAAAACTTTTTTTAAAATCTGGTTTTAGTATAAGAGTAATACTAGCTTCATAAAATGAGCTATTCTATTTTCTGGAAGAGAGTGTGTGAAAATTGGCATTAATTCTTCTTTAGTATTGGTAGAATTCTCCAATTAAACCAGCTAGGCCTGTAGTTTTCTTTTGGGGGTAGTTTTTGAATTGCAAAATCACTCTCCTTAATAATTAGTATAGGGCTAGCCAAATTTTCTATTTCTTTTCTTTTTTTTTTTTTTTTTTGAGACAGGTCTTCACTTGTTGCCCAGGCTAGAGTGAGTGCCATGGCATCAGCCTAGCTCACAGCAACCTCAAACTCCTGGCTCACACACGATCGGCTACTGCCTCCCAGCTCCCGAATAGCTGGAATACAGCATGCGCCACAATGCCTGGCTTTTTTCTATATATATTAGTTGGCCACATTAATTTTCTTTCTATTTATATAGAGACGGTCCTCGCTCTTGCTCAGGCTGGTTTTAAACTCCTGACCTCGAGCAGCTTCACCGCTCTCTGCCCTCCCAGAGTGCTAGAGATTACAGGTCGTGAGCCACAGCGCCTGGCCCTCTTTGTCAGTCTAATAGAGTCTGTCAGTTTTATTAATCTTTCAAATAACCTGCTTTGTTTCATTATTTTTCTCTTGTTTCTACTTTTTAATTCATTAATTCCTGCCTTTAGATTTCCTTCTTCCTGCTTTGCTTATGATTAATTTGTCTCCTCTTTTCTGGGTTCTTGACGGTGGGAGCTTATTCTTTGAGACTTTTCTTCTTTCCTAATATAGATCATTTGGTCTGGTAAGTTTTCTTTCAGCACTGCGTGAAATTTGTGGCACACAATAAGTCATAGAGACTTTCAATTTTCATTCCGTTCAACTGTATTTATTATTTATCTTTGATGACTTCCTCCTTGACCACATTAACTCCCTTACGAAGTGTGTTCAGTTTCCAAGTGGTTTGGGTCTTCCTTTGATCTTTCCTTTTCCATTATAAATATTAGATACTATTTCATAACTATCAAACTAGAAATAATATATATTCTAATCTTTTCCGATGATTTCTAGGTTTGATTCCATGTATAGTCGGTGAGAGAACACTGCTATATTTCAATTAATTTTAATGTGTTGGAAGTTTAATTATTATGGGCCAGGATCAACTGATCTGTCCTTGGTATGTGTTCATGGGTGCTGGAAAAAAATGATGTATTCTTCTGTTGTTGGATAGAGTGTTCTGTGAATGCCAGTTGCACTGTTAGTTGATGGTGGTTTGAGTTCTTCTAATATCCTTGGCTGATTTCCGGTCTAGCTGTGTGATATCCCAGCCATGAAGGAGTATTCCACTCCCCAACAGCAAATAGAGCAAGTGGTACTAGTGGCCGGGGCCGTTACACATCATTAGAGGGTGACAATGTCTCAGTCATTGAGAAATCGAAGGACAATGATTCTGGTTGATTGCACAAATTCAGCAGAACCCTCTCAACTCTGTAGCGCACGAGCAGCGCATTTACAATCGTGTAAATGCTTCCTACAGACAACCGATGATTGTGAGGCTGATGGGTGAATTTTTATGAATGTGTAATTGTGATTTGACTCCACACAATTCATTGTACTGTGTAAGTAAATAAAAATATTTCCACCTTTTATTTTTTTTTATATTTTGAAGGATTTGTACAAATTATCGTTCCATTTCCAGCTCTTTTGCATTGTACTTAGACATAAAAGCTCAATTTAAGAGCACAACAAGCTGGGCAGGCCGGTGGCTCACACCTGTAAGCCTAGCACTCTGGTGGCCGAGGTGGGCGGACTCGCTCATGCTCAGGATTCAAAATGAGGCCTGAGCAAGAGCGAGACCCCCTCTCACTAAAAGTAGAAGAAATAATTGGAAAACTGAACAAATATAAGAAAAATTAGCCCGGCATGGGTGATGCTGTAGTCCCAGCTACTCAGGAGGCTGAGCGCAGGAGGATTGCTCTGGAGCGCAGGAGTTTGAGGTTGCTGGAGCTAAGGCTTACGCCACAAGCAACTGCAGCTGGCACAAAGTTGAATAATCTGTCTCAAAAAAAAAAAAAGAAAGAAGATAGTTTTTT